TATATATATACGGAGTATTTTTCAAGATTAAACGATCAAACTTCTCTAATATATCCTCTGAGTAGAAATAAGAAAAAAATGTTACATAAATGCACACATAGCATAGCATGCAAATAAGTTTATTAACGTAAATGCGTTCGGAGTAAATTAAGTAACAGGTTAACGGGAACGGCGATGCATCCGCTTCTCTCGATTGCATTGTACATAATTTCTCGCGTATAATACTCTTTACTATGTAATCTTAAAATCACGTGTAATATAATTATATACGACGCGGTGATTGAGTAGCGACGAAGTACCATGCCGTCGTCAAATGTCGGCGAGCTTAATTTCCACGCTAAACGATTCCTCTCGCGAGTTACAGTAATTAGTATCGCTTCACGGCAATTATGACGTTCATTACAGAGTTGTTGCTTTACGTTGACGCGCTTATCCGTCTGACTGGCTTTTGACACTTTTCATGTCCGAGAGCTCTCTTTTCGCGAGAAAACTCGACGTTCTTATAAATCCTACGAGAGGAAATAAAAACGCGAAAGAGAAACGCTAACGTCAATTTATTTCGCTTACCTTTCTTCCGGCTTTGTTGTTGTGAAGATTCATCAAGCTCCGAGCGTCTCCTTCGATCTCTCTCGCGTCCAGAAACCTACGCGCGAACCTAACATTAAATTATAATATTAAAATTCACGCGTGTCTCTAGAGAGAGAGCGAGCGTTTGCGCCGTGTTTGACGTATCGTGTTTGTCGTCGCGAGGCAAGCTAACAAAGTTAATAAGAATCTAATTAAATCTTTGCTTAATTAACGTGATACCTCATCCCGTACGTGACGTCGGCGCTGCAACCACCCCACTCCCAGCCGTTCGGCGGTAATTCTTTTCTCGTCCTACAAAGACATTATATATTTTAATCTATAATAAATTAAATTAATATTGCGTGTTATGTATACACGCGCGCGGGCGCGCACACACACATCATTGTGAAATTTGCAAGTACCTTACAGCAGGTTCGCAACCGCAGGCGGTGATATTGCCGCGGCTACAAGCTGCGGTAACCGCATATGTGACACCGGCCGAGCTTATCGCGTACGTGAAAGCCGCCTCCCTGCTACCTGTAAATAGACAATATATATTTTTTAAAAATGTTTCAGTCCCGTTATACAGAGTGTCCCCAATTTAAATGTCAAACTTACTTGTTCTCTAGCAAAACGATCAAATTAGTTGAATACGAAACTACTACTGGCTAGAGGTTTCTACTGTTAAATTGAACAAGTAAACTTGTTGATAAATTTTTCCAAATAAATACCTATATATAAGGATATATACACCGTCGAACAATTAAATTTCGAGACTCGCTTTGCATTTCCGAACGTTTGATCCGTATGTGCTGCCATTTTAGGGGGTTATTCACAACTCAATACTCAACACGTGGTGCAAGTTTTAAAGTTTTATTTGGTTCAATAGTTAATAAGATAGTCACGCAAAGTTGTGTTACAAAATTTTGTTTAAAAATCGGTGTAATAAAATCCTCCTGAGGTAAAATTAGAGGATTGTAGATAAATACGCGACAACGCGAAATTTTGTTTCTAATCTAATTTTACCTCAGGAGGATTTTAACTCACTCTCTTTTCTTAATTCCATGTTCTACAATTTTTATTTTATAATACTTTTTAATAAATCTAATAATTTTAGTGTTTTAAGTTTTTTGGTGAAAATTATTTGTTTCATTTTTTGCAATTTTCTTCAAAACGAAGCAAAAACGAGCAAATCTCTAAAGGACTTTTTGTCTTAGTTTATCGGTCCCCTACATGCTCCTAAAGTTTTGACATTTAAATTGGGGACACCCTGTGTCCTATTTTACAAATGTCAAATTTAATTCTAAGTAAAATAGAAAAATTCGCAAGTGATCACAATGTATGTTTATGTTACATACGAGCTGTAAACAAAGAGAATATCGTGGCTACATGAATACGCTGCGGTCAACATCGTCCGTAGATGACGTGAAACGTAAACGCACTCTCTTTCCGGGTCAATTAATAATTTAATGTTCATAGTTGTGCGCGTGTGAACCGTGGTTCGTTTCAAATTTGCACGTCAACCGGAGATCCGAGGACTCTGTGCTTTCTAGCACGGAGTCCAAACCGGCGCTGCCTCGTCAAGGTATTCTTTTCCGTCACGCGAATTTATTACAGCTAGTTGTTCGCCCGTTGCGACGGTGCCGCGCGCGAGCGCAATTAATTACCTCGCTCTCGCCTCGTTTATGCCACGTCGAATGAATTACCGTACGTCCGTTTTCTCGCGATACCCATTTTTCACTCCATCATCATCGTCGTCGTCGACACCTACGCGCCGCTCTCAGGTCTGTCCGATTCAGTTGGCGTTTCACTCTATCGTCGTCAAATTCGCTCGGCTTTAATTCGCGCGTCCGTCGTGTCAGTAATCGCGCGATAATCTCATGCAGATTCAGTTTATATAACACCGAATTTATAATGAAAACCAGTTTGCGTGGAGGAAATTCTCGCTCTCGTATAATTACCAGAGTAGAATATGAGAGAAACACATCGGTCGAACAATATAATGAATAAATTAAACTTCGCGTTAGTTGTGTACGCGTCCCGCGTTTTACGCTCGCCTATGGAACAAGTGCATTCCTTATCGAGTAATGCTCGATCGTCGTGCCGGGAAATGAAAAGAGATCCGGTTAACTGTAATTACGGCGAAATCATCCTACACGATAACTCGAGTCGATGTTTGTTATGCGCGCGGCCATAACTCACAGCCACCGACACGCGCCTGCCTGCACTCGTGTATTATGAAAGTAAATAAGCGAGAGAGAGAGAGAGAAAGAGAGAGAGAGAGAAAGAGAGATAGAGAGACAGCTTGCATCCGCGACTCTTGCATTCGTCTCTGCTTTTTTTGCGATGGGCGCTTTGATTACTACCGCGACAATAACGTACGTCAGGATAAAGCTGTCCTCGTCTCAAAATCACCGACCAGGGAAGGGAGAGGGAAGGCTAACATATATTTAAAAACGGAATTGTTACTTTGAATCAACTATTTTCTGGTGACTTTCTTACTCGTTGAATGAGAGACGCGTTGAAATATCAACTTTTCTTTCATGCATTTCATGTGTATGTGTATTTCATATATGTTTGACAGCAAAGTGAATTTCTGCAAATATTATTGAGCGACTTTTATTTATAAATGAATAGAATACAGGCGGACTAAAATATACATACAGTTGAAACTCTGTATTTCTCAATGTCCAATGAATACATGCGTAGAATAAACGCACGCTGTTGACAGATACATTACAAATACTTCCTGTTATTTAAAGTTACATATAACAAATGTAAGTAGGGGAAGCAGCTAAAAAAAAACAAGATATTGAAATAGTTAAAAATACAAACGCCAAGAATGGTGGTTTGACGATGATTAAGCGCCATTAATTGAATTGTTTTATTATACAAGCGAGAAGGGGTGATTCTCTCGAGAGGACGAATGCGGCGAATGTAGGATGTTTGGAAAAAATATATAGCAACATCCTATGGGGCGTTGCAGAGTCGCGTACATTCTCGATGCTCTTATTGTCAGACTTCGTTGCTCGCTTACCACGATAATTTTCTTGCCCGTTGTCGCGCAATCGCACTCGCGGTGAGAAAACGAACGCGTTTACGCCTCGCGAGATTGCGGCCATGATGCTCTGCGCTTTTTGCAGCACTCAGTTTCTGTCGTGAAGACTAAGAACGTAACAGGACGGAGCGCAGTCCTTATGTGGGGAGATGAAAGGTTTCGATGTCTGTTACGAGCGTGTCTGTTTCCACTTTATATATCGCGGTTGATTTCTGTATTAGATCCGGATTTCTTAATTTCTATTAAGAAATCGGTAAAAATCCTTTTGAGAATTCTCTTTCTAGAAATCGAAATTGGAATGTCCTACTTTTCTCATAGACTTCATTTATATTTTATTTTAGTAATAATGGAAAATTGTATGGAGAGCAAGTTTGAGAGAAATCGCAACATTTCTGTTTACGGAAGCGTTTTTCGCCCGGCACTTTGCGTCGAATCGAAAAAGGCACCGATTGTCCTGAGACGCGAGAGCGGGCGCATCGGTCAAAAGGTTGATGAATTTATGCCGAGCGTTTATGTCAAAGGACGGCAGCGCGGCCATCCGTTTAACGTCGGAAGAG